GGAGTTAATAGTTTGTGGTTCTCTTAGTAGAGGAAGTTTGTAATAAGCAAGAAATTTGTTATAGCATATTTCCAAGTTATAGGGGTCTAATGATGTTGATGATAACTTGGATAGAAGTTCTTTTGAAGGGTTGCTCGCCATTTTAAGCTCGGTTCTCACAGCTGCAAAGGATTCCATATTCTGCCATGTACGTTTGGTCTGACTATCATTATCTTGGTCCTTCGCATAGGAAATTTTTACATATTTGTGTAATATAAAATAAGGAGTATTTTTTATTTTAATATTTTTGTTTACGTGTTTGTTTATTTTTATATATTTAGAAATTTTTACGTGTTTGTATAATATAAAATAAGATGTGTTTTTTTTACAACGTGCAACAAAAAAAAGTATAAATATTCTCTTATTCCCATATTTTTTAAACTCTTACTCATTCTCTCTTACTCATTTTTTCTTACTTATTTTTATTATATTTATATTACATTTATTATATTTACAATATTTATTTAATTTTAAAACATTTTAATTTTTCTTTATTTTTCTTTAACTTTTCTTTAACTTTTTTTTAATCTTTTTTGAACTTTTTTTTAATTTTTTTAATTTTTTTTAATTTTTCTTAACTTTTCTTTAACTTTTTTTTTAACTTTTTTTTAACTTTTCTTTAATTTTTTTTTTAATTTTTCTTTAACTTTTCTTTAACTTTTTTTTAATTTTTTTTTTAATGTTTTTAAAACTTTTTTTAACTTTTTTTAACTTTTTTTTAATTTTTCTTTAACTTTTCTTTAACTTTTCTTTGTCTTTCTTTAACTTTTTTTAACTTTTTTTTAACTTTTTTTTAACTTTTTTTTAATTTTTTTTAACTTTTTTAACTTTCTTTAACTTTTTTTAACTTTTTTAACTTTTTTTAACTTTTTTTAATTTTTTTTAATTTTTTTTAATTTTCTTTAACTTTTTTTAACTTTCTTTAATTTTCTTTAACTTTCTTTAACTTTTTTAACTTTTTTCAACTTTCTTTAATTTTCTTTAACTTTTTTTAACTTTTTTTAACTTTTTTTAACTTTCTTTAACTTTCTTTAACTTTCTTTAACTTTCTTTAACTTTCTTTAACTTTCTTTAATTTTCTTTAACTTTTAATTTTTTAAAAGGTATATTATTTTAAATACTATAAAGTAGATAGATTTTTTAATTAATATATATATATAGTAAATTATTATTTTATTAGTTTATATTTAATTAAATTTAGAAGTCATATATAATTGACAACAGTGTAGATATAGGTAGTAAAACCACTTGGAAGCTCTAGCTATACGAATATGATAGATAACTATCTTACTAAGTTTTACTACCTTATATTCTTTATATTGCCTTTATCTTCTGGCTCACTATGAGATTATTGATTCTAAATTCTTTTAATATATATAATTATAATTTAATATTTTACTAACTTATATATTAATTTTTATTTTATTTTTATTTTATTTTTTAAATTATTTTAAACACTACAAAGTAGATAAATTTCTTAATTAATATATATATATATAGTAAATTGTTATTTTATTAGTTTATATTTTAATTGAATTGAAAAGCTATATATAATTGACAACAGTATGAATATAGGTAGTAAAACTGCTTAAAAGCTCTAGCCATATGAATGTGATAGATAACTATCTTACTATGTTTTATTGGCTTATATTCTTTATATTGCCTTTATCTTCCGGCTCACTATGAGATTATTGATTCTAAATTCTTTTAATATATATAATAATAATTTAATATTTTACTAACTTATATATTAATTTTTATTTTTATTTTATTTTTTAAATTATTTTAAACACTATAAAGTAGATAGATTTCTTAATTAATATATATATATAGTAAATTGATATTTATTAGTTTATATTTTAATTGAATTTAGAAACCATATATAATTGAAGACAGTGTGGATATAGATAGTAAAACTGCTTGAAAACTCTAGCCATATAAATGTGATGAATAACTATCTTACTAAGTTTTACTGGCTTATATTTTTTATATTGCTTTTATCTTCCAGCTCACTATGAGATTATTGATTCTAAATTCTTTTAATATATATAATTATAATTTAATATTTTACTAGCTTATATATTAATTTTTATTTATAATTTAATATATTTTATTTATAAAAACTTATAAATTTTAAATTATTATTTTTACTAACTTATTAATTTTTAATTATAGATTTAATTTAATTATTTAAAAATTTTAAAATACCATCAAATGTAAAACTTCTTCTACTCCTCCACATATTGCTAATGATGATAGTTACAAAGAATCTTCACTACCAGAAACACAAGTTGAAAAAACTAGAAGATTAAATAGAAAAAGAAAAGCTGTTACCAAATGGTATAAAGAAAATTCTAATTCAATAATTGAAGTATCTATATCTACATCTGCAATATCAATTCTAATAACAACAACTGTAGCAACAACTGTAATAGCAACTACATCAATAACAATATCTACAACACCATTTGTGACAACATCTGCACCAATATTTGCAACACCACCTGTAGCAATAGCTACAACAGCACTTGCAACAGTACCTACAACAACATCTGCAACAATATTAACAACAGTATCTGAAATAATATCACCAACAACAACAATATCACCAACAAGTTTAGAATTAGTATCAGCATTAGCATCAAGTGGATCACAATCATTTGTTTCAACAACATTATCAACAGCATTTACTGAATCAACAACTTTGGAATCAACATCAACAAATTTACAATGATATAAATATTTTCGATTAAAACAACAAGAATATAGACAAACTTTAACTGCATAACAGCAAAATAAACAAAGAGAATTAAATAAATATCAGCATAGAAATAGTAAATTACAACAATATAATCAGTTTAGAAATATTGCAAGATGTAGTTTGAAAGATTTTAATATTGAATTAGAAGATAGCTTTGATCTTTCTATTAGGCAACATAAGCTCAGTAATTTGGAAATTAGATTTAATTATTGTCAAGCTTAAAGTGGAAAAATGAATCACCAGGATTTTGCTGCCTTAATGGTAAAATTAAATTAGCATTACTTGAACCACCTCCACTAGCTATATCACAGTTATTAACTGGGTTTGATATTACTACTGGTGAGAAATATATTCAAAATATAATGTCCTATAATTCTGCTTTTGCTTTTTCATCTTTAGGCAGAACTACAGATCGTAGCATTTTTGAAGTAGATAAACCTTATATTTTTAGAATTCAAGGAGCTTTATATCATAATATAGGTTCCTTAATATCACCAAGTGGGCAGCCTAAATTTGCACAAATTTATTTCCATGATAGTAATTTTGATACCCAGTTTGCATTAAAAAATGAAGCATCTCCAAATTTAAATTTGGATATGATGAGATCTTTGCAAGCTGAACTTGATCATATTAATCCTTTTGTTCAAATCTTTAAAAGTGATGGATGGCAGGCCACAAGAAATTCTGCTTTAAAATTAAAAATTTCTAATATCTCTTTCCAAGATATAAGAAATTATAATTTACCAGTTGCTTCTGAAATTGCTGCTATAATTACTGATGATAACACAATTAACTCTGGTAGACATATTATTCTTACTACACAACAGAGTTTTTTGCGATACATCTCAGAATTATATGGTGCTTATAATCCTTTATAGTATCTACTCCTTTTTTCAAAAGGAGAGTATGGATGGCATACTGGAATTATGCATTCAACTGTAATTGATCAGAGTTCTAATACTAATGATAATTTAAATTTTAATTATAATCAATTAAATACTTTACTATCAAATCCTACTGATTCCCAGCAACAACGAAAACATGTAACAATTAGAGAATTTGCATGTTATAGGTTACAAATAAGAGATCCTAATAGCATTTTACATCTTGCTAGTTACTTATTTCAGCAATATATCATTGACCAGTATGCAAAATGGGAGCAAAATAATTTAAGGTGGTTTAAAAATAATTAACCTCAATTACAAGTTGAATATTATAAAAGATTAGAAGATATCATTAATAATGATGAAGCTAATCCTCTTGAAATTGGGAAAAAAATTATTTTGCCTTCCTCATTTACTGGTTCAAAGAGATATATACAACAGTTATACCAAGATGCTATAGCTACTGTAAGAGAATTTGGTAAGCCTGATCTTTTTATAACTGTTATCTGTAATTCCAATTAGCCTGAAATAACTGAAAATTTTCTACAAGGCAAAAATCTAATGATCATCCTGAATTGAAGCTTAAAGAAATTACTGATGACTTGTATAAAAAAGGTGTTTTGGGACTTAGCGTGGCTCATATTCATGTTATTAAATTTCAAAAACGAGGATTACCACATGCTCACATATTTATTATACTTACTATTGAAGATAAACCACAAACTTCTGATGCTTATGACAATTTGATTTCTGCTGAGATTCCTAATCCAATTACTCAACCTCAGCTTTATCAAATAGTTACTAAACATATGATTCATAGTCCTTGTGGTTCTCTTAAACCATCTTCTCTATATATGAAAGATGGTATATGTAGTAAAAATTATCTGCGTAATTTTAATAGTACAACCATTGTAAATAAAAATGGTTATCCACTATATCATAAAAGAAACACTGGTTATAAGGTCAAAAAAGCTGGTCATGATCTTGACAAAAGATAGGTAGTTCCATACAATCTATTCTTTTGTTTAAAATACAATTGTCATATTAATGTAGAGATATGTTCTGGTATTAAATCTGTTAAATATCTTTACAAATATGTTTACAAAGGTTCAGATAGAGCTGTTGTTTCAGTTGAAAATCAGGATAATGATGAAAATAATGAGATTAAAAATTATCTTGATGCTAGATATGTTTCTGCTTCAGAAGGATGCTGGCATTTATTTAATTTTAAGTTACAAGAAAAATCTCATCACATTGAAAGATTACTAGTTCATTTGAATAGAGAACAATTAGTTTTATATGATGGCAATGATGTTAATATAAATTTATCTAATTTATTAGATAAAAACTCACATACAAAGTTGATACAATTTTTTGAAAAATGTTCTTCTGATCCAAATGCAACTGATCTTTTATATACTAATTTTCCAAAACACTATGTGTGGAGCAACAAGCAATGGAAACCAAGAAAACTTAGAGATAATAAAGTTATTGCACGTATATATATAATTAATTCAAAAGATATAAAAAGATATTGTCTTAGGTTACTATTAACATATATCAAAGGGCCAACATCTTTTGATTATTTAAAAACTATCAATAATATATATTATCTCTCTTTTAAAATGGCAGCTATTCAACTTGGTTTAATAGAAAATAATCAAGAGTAGAATTTATGCCTTAGAGAAGCATCACTTCATGCAATGCCTAAACAACTAAGGCAATTGTTTGCAACAATCTTAGTTTATTGTAATCTAACTAATATTCTAAATCTCTGGAATACATATTTGGTTTCCTTATCCGAAGATTTTGTTTACAATGCAAATTCTAAACATGTAGCTTTAGATTATAATAATTCTTGAATAGTTATACAAGTATTTCTTGATTTGGAAAAATATCTTTTTCAAAATGGAAAATCTCTTTTAGATTTTCTTGAACTTCTTTCACCTGATCTAACCTTTCTTCATCAATCTACTTTACAAGCTACCAATCAATTTTTTAATGAAAAAACAAGTTATAATCAGGATTATATTAATACTCAATTACAAAAAATTAGTACTTTAAATGATGAACAGAAGCAAATATTTGATACAATAATTGATTCTGTTTATAATGAAGGAATTCAAAAGTTATTTTTCCTTGATAGCTCTGATAGAACTGGTAAAACCTATCTATATAATATTATTTTAGCATGAATTAGATCTGAGGGTCATATTGCTTTAGCTGTTACTTCTTCTGAAATTGCTGCTTTGTTACTGGATTGTGGTCGAACTGCATATTCACGATTTAAAATTCTTTTGAAACCTATAGAGGGCTCTATCTGTAATATTTCAAAGCAATCTGAATTGGCAGTTTTGATCAATGAAGCTAAAATTATTCTCTGGTATGAGGCTCTAATAGTTACTAAATTAGCTTTTGAAGCTTTTGATCGCACATTCCAGAATCTGACTGGCAATACTGAGTTTTTTGGAGATAAAGTTATGCTATTTGGTAGTGACTTTAGACAAATTCTTCTGGTAGTACCTCGAGGATCAAGAACTCAAATAGTTAATTCAAGTTTGAAATGTTTATATTTATGGAAGCATATTCAAACTATAAAATTAACTATTAATATGCGAGTTCTTCATGATGCATTACAGCAAGATTTTGTAAACTTTTTGCTTTATATTGGTGAAGGTCAAAAACCAACAACTGGTGATGATTACATTAAATTACCAAGATTTATGATCTTAGATGGCAATGATATTACTTCATTAATATCAGAGATATTTTCAAGTATTTCTACAAGATATAATGATAGTAATTTTATTGTTAAAAGAGCTATTCTTACACCCAAAAATGATGATGTAGAATTAATTAACAATTAAGTTCTTAATTTGATTCTGGAGGTGAAACAAATTTTTTATTCTACTGATTCTGTTGAGAATATAAATTCTGTTCATGAAAGTTTATATCCAATAGAATTTTTCAACATACTGACACCAAGTAGATTGCCTCCACATAAGCTTATTCTTAAAGTAGGAGTACCCGTAATACTTTTATGTAATATAAATTCTTCTGAAGGTTTATGTAATAGAACTAGGCTTATTGTGAAAGGATTTTATAATTATGTTCTGGATTGTAAAATTCTTACAAGATCATTTCTTTGACAAAAGGTTTTTCTTCCAAAAATGACTTTATCACCTTCTGATACTGTCTACCCTTTTATTTTAATATGTAAGCAATTTCTAGTTCGTTTGGCCTATGCTTTGACTATTAATAAGGGTCAAGGTCAAACTATTCCTTTAGTTAGTCTCTTTTTGCCACAATCAGTTTTTTCACATGGACAACTCTATGTAGATCTTTCTAGAATGACTTTATGTGAAACAATCAAAATTTTGGTAAACAATGCACGATCTGATGACGATGGTAAAATCTATACGAAGAATATTATCTATAGAGAAATTTTTAATGATTCATTTAATCTTTTGTTCTCAAATGACTCCTAAACTTTGCAAGCCGGTCACTGCTACTGTGTACTATTTTAAATTTTTATATTTATTAATTAATTATTAATTAAAAGTTAAGTATTTTTTATTATTATTTATTTTTATAATACTATTTAACAATTATTAATTTTTATTTAATTTTATTATTTTTATATATAGTATTTGTAAATATACTTTTTTATATTACTTTAAAAACTATTATATTTTTATATTTATTTTATTTTCAAAAAAATTTTAAAAATTAAAAACAAAAAAAATTAAAAAAACAAAAAAAAGATAAAATAGAGAACTGGAAACACTTCGTGGTCACAATTTGCGAAAGTTACCAGTCAAGTAACCAGACTTGATTTATAGTAGACAGCCTATTGTGAACATCCTTCTTTATTTTATTATAAAAAAAATTTTTTATTTTTTATTTTTATTTTATATCATTCTCAAATAATATTAAACTTATACAAACTGGTCACTGCTACCATATACAAATTATGGACATAACATTTAATTGGTTGGTTATAACAATTATGCGTGGGTTAGGGGCACATAAATATTTTTTTATAAAATTTAATAAAAATTAAATTATCTATTACATGAATATAATTAAGAAAATACTATAGAGAATATACTATTTCAAGATACTGTTGCAAGATAATATATTCAAATCTAGATTAATCTAATTTAAATACAAATAAATACAAATATTTTTAATATTATCTATTATCTATTAAGTGAA